CAGTCATGAGTATTCTGGGTATGATTCTATTGAGTTGTACATTATGTTGTGAGAGCCTCAGCTGTCACAAGTGGTTAATCCTCTGGAGACCGAACAAGCAGAAGTAGATGTCGTTGATGAAGAAGAAGAAAATGACGTGTTTGAGTTTGACGACATGGTCAACGATGATTCCGAAGACGATGGGATACCTGTTATTCCTTCAAACGAGATCTACACAACACCTCCGCACATGACAAACTTCAACATGGGCAGAGATGAACCGTCTTCTGATTTATTTTTCAATCCGTATATGCAGTCGGATGAAAACTTAAAAGAGAAAGACAAATTTCGTAATAGAGAAGAATGTATCTGATCCATCAAAAAATTTCACATGCTCAACTCGGTCGATTTTAAGGTGGACCGTGTAAATCCAGAAAGGTACAAGATCAAGTGTGTCCACCCAAATTGCATGTTCAAGATCACTGCATCATACAAATTAAGAGGTGATTGTTGGGTCATGGGTTCTATGTCCACCCACACGTGTGTCAGTTCTACTCAATCACAGGATCATCAGAAACTAAATTATGATCTCATATGTCAAGAAATCCTACCACTCGTCAGCAACGATCCATCATTGAAGGTGAAAACTATAATCTACCACATCACTACGGTATTTAACTATACTCCGGCTTACCGAAAGGTGTGGTTAGCAAAGACCAAGGCGATTGAAAAGGTATATGGAAACTGGGAGGAGTCATACCAAGAACTTCCTCGCTATCTTAATGCACTTCAGACTTATTCTCCAGGTACTGTTTACATTCTAGAAACACTGTCAGCGTACGCCCCAGATGGTAGTCAACTCAATGGAAATGGAATATTCAGTCGAGTGTTTTAGACTTTTCAACCTTGCATCACAGGGTTTGCGTCATGCAAACCAATTATACAAATTGATGGGACTTGGTTGTATGGGAAATACAAAGGCACGCTACTGATGGCAGTTGCATAAGATGGCAACAACAACATTTTCCCAATTGTCTTTGCCCTAGTCGAGGGAGAGACTGGTGGTGCTTGGAGCTTTTTTCTCAAGAATCTCCGAACACACGTGGCTCCTCAACCAGATCTCTGTTCGATATCTGATAGATATGCATCCATTGAAAATGCATACAATAATCCTGCAAACGGTTGGCATGACCCTTCTTCTGCGCATGTCTATTGCATTAGACATATCGTCCAAAATTTCACGAGGTAGATCAAAGACAAAGCTCTTAGGAAAGCGGTTATGAATGCGGGATATGCATTGACACAACCTACGTTCAAATATTATCGCAACGAGATCCGTTTGTCAAATCCGGACATCGGTAGATGGATCGATAATATTCTGGTAGAAAAATGGACTAGGTCATACGACAATGGACAAAGATGGGGCCACATGACAACAAATCTAATTGAATCCATGAACGGGGTATTCAAAGGCATACGAAACTTCTCAGTTACTGCTTTGGTTAAATCAACATATTTTAGGATGGCTTCGTGTTTTCCAAAAGAGGTGAAATATGGAATGTTGTGTTGCAATCTGGACAACTATGGAGTGAAAGCTGCATGAAGTATATTAAGACAGAAAGTGCCAAAGCCAACACCCATTTGGTTATATGGTTTGACCGACACCGCCACAACTTCATTGTCAAAGAGACAATCGACCACAATGAGGGTCTGCCAAGACAAGAGTATAGGGTTATACTACCTTCTCGTTGGTGCGATTGTGGCAAGTTTCAAGCCTTTCGTATGCCTTGCTCTCATGTCATTTCTGCGTGTGCCTATACTCATCAATACACGCTACAACTTCTGTCTCCCATTTACAAATCTGAAACCTTGCTCAACGTATACAACAACAACTTCCCTTTGGTAGCAAGACCTGATTATTTGCCTGCATACAACAGAGAAATGGTATGGCACAATGACCAAATGCGAAGGAATAAAAAGGGTCGTCCCAAAAGTAAGCGCATCACAACTGAAATGGACTCCCTTGACAAGCTGGAAAGAAAGTGTGGTTTATGTCGTCAGGTCGGACACAATCGCAAAAATTGTCCGAATCAGGCTACTGGCTCAACCACATAAAAATTATATTACAAAACATCTTTCCTTTTTAAGTTGTAAACATTAGGGTTTTTCATTAACAGTATTTGTTACAATAAACCTTTCGCGAACAAGAAATAAAACACGATAAATCGTCTACGAAATTAAAACCATTAAAATAATTTCATCTGACCCATGCATCATTAACATTACGTCGCTGTCTGTTTTGACTTCCTCCAACCAAAAATCAGGTCTTCCTGTCGCAAGTGAGGTTGATGTTCGTCTTCACTGGATCCTTTTAATTTGTTCCCCCTCCTCGATGTCTCCCTCTAGCCATCGCATCAACTCCCTCTTCAGACGCTCCATGGAGTGAATGTACCATAATTTCATTTTCATCAGAGGTTTTGTGGCGGAGAAAATAACGCAACAATCTCTGGTAAAAATCATGGGCGATGTAATGACGCAAATAACAGAGAAAAAAAATAAGAGAACAGTGCGAGAAAGTGTGAGGAATAACGGAGAAACAGACAGATTATTTATAAAAATTGCATTTTGCCCTAGGAGTCAAGTGAGATGGCGTCTCCTCTTACTTTTAAAGTGTATGCGCCATCTCACTTGGCTAAAATAGAGAGGAGGCGCCAAGTGGGATGACTCCTAGGACAAAATGGAGAGTGGATGCGCCAACTGGGTTCGCTCCTCCCTTGTGGGGTTTTCTGAAACATGGTTATTTGGGTAATTTTCTCCGAAACATGGTTATTTGCGGGAAAAATTTTAATACCTGGTTATTCCAAAAAAAAATTCTCACATGTTTTCTTTTGAAATAGATGTTGATTTTAAGAAAATGAAGGATTTAATTAGTATATACATGTGATAAATTTAGGATTTAACTATTAAGGAATCAGTCAATATAAGAGTCTATATGATGTAAATAGTGAAAAGTCAAGTGTTGATATTGTATGCACTGTGTTGTTTTATGCAGTATAATTGTTATCAATGTGTGTCTTGTGTAAATTCATAATTGAGTTCTTTTAGTATTTAGTTTTTAAATATGATTAGGATGATATGTTTTGTTTATTTATTTTGATTTTTTTTTATTGTGTTTGAGTTTATTTCATTATTTTTTTGTTGTAATTGATCTTTATTTTATTTATTTTAAACTGTTTGGACTTAAGACACGTTGAAGTTCTATTATTCATTGTAAAAAAAATCTTTTGTCGACCTCTTTGATAATAAATATTTTTTTAAAAAATTATACAGTAAATCAAATTTTCAAATAAAATAAAATAAAAATTTGACGGGCCGGCCCGCCAACCCGTCAACTCGTAAGTAAACAGGGCGGACTTGACTCTTGAGCTAAAACCCCTAAGTTGGCCTGCCTCGTTCCACCCTGCTTTTGGACGGGCTTAAATGGGACAGTCCAAAACGGGGCGGGCCGCCCGCTTTGCCACCCCTATATATAAATATAAATTTTCGTTTTTTATTATTTTTAATATTTTTTTAATTCTTTTTTAACATTTCTGCTTTTGAATATATATTTAATAAATAAAAAATAAATTTTATTAATATACATAATTTTGTTTTAAGTAAAAAAATAAAATAAATTTTTATTTTATTTTTCATTTACAAAAATCATAATATTAACCTAATAACAACTTCTAAAAAAATCAAATTTAACCTAAAATACCAATCAACAATCCAGAAAATATATCAAGTTTATTAAAAAATTACAAAAATACTTCTTCTTCAATCTCCTTTAATCTTCTTGTTCAATCTTTTTCAAATCCTCTTCGATATTCTTCAATCTTCTTCTATTCAATATCTTGAGAAAAAATTAACATAAATTAAAATTTCAATACAGTATAAACGTTAAACAAAATTATTAAAAAAAATTGAAATAAAATATAGAAGATTATTTATTACCTTTGTAAATTGGAAGTGGAATAGAAATTGAGATATAGGTGTATATAGATGATGAGAAACAGAGAGAAGAAGAATAAGATATAGAGAGATGATGAATAATGAAGTTTCTATTTGTGAAACGGAAAAAATGATATTTAGTCAATCAACGAAGTGAAAATCATGTCGCAACCCTGCCACGTGATTTCCACGTCGGAAACTCCACAACAATCAATTATTTATTTGCAAGGTCTGCAGTCACATGTATCAATGATAATAAATTAATGCCCAATCAGTGACGTGAATATCACATCGCAATCTTGTCACGTGATATTTACGTTGCAACCTTGTCACGTGATATTTACGTCGCAACTAACCAATGGTATAAAAATTGAAAAGCCTTCTGCGCCTTTATTTTTCAAAATTTTCCACTTAAATTTTGCGACGTGATATACACGTCACAAATAAATTAAAGTTTGAGATTTTTGTACTTCCCCCGTTTGAACGTTTTAGTTTTTCATTTTTTTTTTTTAATTTTTAACTTGTGACGTGATTAACACGTCGCAAGGTTATTTTTCTAAAATAAAATCGGATTTCCCATGTAAATATTGCAGACTGAATATTTTATTATTATAAATAATTAGTGACGTGATAAACACGTTGCAACTCATTTTTTTTACTACATGATTCGATCATAAAATAACTTCTGTGAAAAGCTTTCTTCATATAGTGTTACTACTTGCACGAATAAGTAATTATTGAAGTCTCATCAATTCAATCAACATGAATAAAAAGGACATAGCTAGCTAGAGGTACATATACCCGTGACACACACTTACACCATTACAAAACTACAAATATAACTCAACTTTAGAAATTAAATCCACACAATAGAGTACTTAGCTCAAAATCTTTCACCGTGTGGTTAGATTCAAACCTTACCATATGCTAAAATTGAATCCATCAATATAAATAGAGTACCAATATTACCATTACCCAAACAAATCTTGTAATGTCATATTGACATAAGATTTTATGTAATGAACATTTTATTAAGTACATAGCTCACGAGCAACTCCAACCCTAGAATTAGGGACGTCAAAGAGGAGACGGTGGTTTTGTTGCTGCATGTTGGCTATGACATTCAAAACCGAGTTCACATTATCGGGTGCAGACGCCATGGCCAAGCACGTTGTACTTCCGGCGGTACTATGTATAAGTATGTTGTCTTCAGGAAGTGTCACGTTCATGCCTGTGAACATAAAGGTTATTGTAGGTACAACTATTGGCACATTGTAGCATGTGTCGAACCCTCCTAAGGTTGTCACAGTTAGGTTTGGCCCAACTCTTCGACGAAACTCATTTCGAACCGCCTCATATGCTGGTGCAACTAGTCGGGTGAACACGGTACCTAATAATGTTTAATATAATAAATACAACCAAAAAAAAATCATTATACAAAAAATATTTAACTATAAACGTTTTACAGTTAAAATTCAGTTAGAATATCTGTCTATAAAAATTTAAGATGCATTTTATGTTCGGGTAAAAGTACTTACCGGAATCAAAGATGGTACCAGCTCCGGTGGACGGATTGAATGCCAATGCGGTCGGAGGAATATCGACGATTTTCCGACCAACCCTAATAGCTTCCAAGTTAACATAATAGAGTGATGATCTTCTAGGATTCTTGAGAAGAGGGGTAAACTTAATCCTCTTGGGCTGAGCACTAGGCCCAAGTCTTAAAGACCCAGAGTAATTAAGAGACTTGAAGCTTGGCAAGCAGTAAGAGAATATGGACTGATAGAGGTTTTGGGTTTGAGATAAAAGTGATAATGGGCCTCGGCCCAAGCCCAACAGACCTTGTGGTGGAGTAGAAGTTCCAGTGGTTTTTGAAACACAACCAAAGGTGTAACTAGGAATTGGGTCAGTGGCTAAGGTAACAGTGTCTTGGACCAAGTTAGATGATATAGTGGAACTTCCATAGGTTAGGTTAAAGTTGCATGAATTCACACCACAACTAGGGTTTGGTACCTGAAAAATAAAGAAAAAAAAGTTTACAATTACTTCACAACCATATCTTTTTAAAAATGAAATGAACATATTAATCGATGCGACTTCACGATCAGAGATTAGATAAGTGAGTTCATAGTTATTAGATCAAATAATAAATATTTTAAAATAAATTGATAAAAATCGGTTCAATCAACTGAAATTCAACCAACTAAAAGAATTTCAACTTAGAATCTAAACCATCGCGATAGTATTATTTTTCTTAGAATATAAAGAATGTTTCTCCACCATTAAATCAAAGAGTCTTCAAACTCGAACAAAATTCAATAGAATTGAGAATAAATCAATTATCGTTTTAACGATTAATCTGATCGGGTCGAATCGGTTCGGTTTAAATTTTAAAACATAATCACAATAATAGAAAGATTACATTTAGAAAATTCCAAAGGCACGTGAACTTTTGCCTGCCCTAAACTGCACAGTTTTCAAGATTTTGGATTTATAGATTGGGCTAAATATAAGTCAACCCCACCCACAATGGGACAAAAGTTACATGTTTCAATGTAAATAATAATAGTCCTTTTTTTGGAGTCCCTTTCATGGTAAAAAGAAATTACCCTTCCATATCAAGTAGATGTAAAAAAGATTCATGCCATATTGTAGGACATGTGATCTTTTAATTTGTCCAAAGTAAAAAATAATTCTAGTACTATTTTGTCTATAGGATAATTTGTGCTCTAAAATAAATATATAATATTAAATATTATCTATTATATATTTTATTTTATTGGATCATTTTAGCTTTAAAATTGTCATGAAACAATATGATGTGACCTAATATTTTAATTTTTAGATCTTATTTTCACTAAAGTACAAACATCACAGAATTGTGACTTGTACAGCTGGGTATTTGAATTTTGAGTTCACGTGACTCTTTATATTTTAAAATAAAGATATGTTAATTGACAAGCTAAGGAGTATCTTAGGATACTATAAATAAATTAGAAAAATATAGTATCCTATGTTATGATTCTTATTACTAAATAAAAAATTAAAAAGTATTTTTTGGAGTTATAATTGACGGATCAAATCAAATATTCCATAATTGTTGAAATTTTAATCATGCATAAATCTACTTTCTTTTTCTTTTTAAGACCGGTTTACTAAACTAAACATGAAAACAATAATTAGATTTTGCATATGATCATAAAAGTTTTAAAAAAAAACAGCTAAACACCATTATTTCAACTTCCCTCTATTAATTTTGTCCACAAAAAAAAAAATTCCCTCTATTAAAATCATGTATAACATCAGCAAATCATTATAACAAATACTTTCAACAATAATAACTCATCACACTGAAAATATATCAAGGAATTAAAATATGAAAATAAAAAGGAAAAATTACTACTGTAATATAAATTTTTTAATTAAATATTTAAATTGACAATAATATAAGATTTGACAAAGTCACTACAAACCCTCTTCATTTTTTTTATATAAAAATTAAATTTTAAATTTTCTTAAAACTACCATATTACCATGATTATAACAATCTAATTTTCAATACAAACATAGTCACAAATTTTTATGACTAAAATGTGTGTTATATAAAGAAAGTGGAAAGTTTATTACTATATTGAATAATGAATGTATTTGAAGTATATACAAATCATGAATGAGATACATTGATAAATCCTTATATTTAAAAAATAATTTTTTTCTTATAATAAGGATCTAAGAAAGTATGATTTTACCTGTTTGCATTGAGGAGCATCACAAGTAACATTCTGAAAAGTAGTTGATTTTTCAGGAGCAAACAAAGTGGAAGAACAACCATCACAAGCAGTACAAGGAATCCAAGCAGCATCATTACTAGTATCCATAGCCAAAAGCAATGTTTGAGGTGGAGTACCAATTTTAGCCCTAACAATATAAGTTGGACTTTGTATGATCTGTCTACCAGAAGCAATTGGTACAATTGATCTCTTAGCTACTAAACTATCAAGGAATTGAAGTCTAGTTTGGTCTTTTGATTGCATTTGGAGGATGGTTTCCTCAAATGAAAGTGGTTTTGATGGCTTAAATGGGGAACATGGACTGAATACATGGATCACTTGGAGTGTTGAGCTATGGTCTTGGATGTCACATTTAGGGTTTAGTCCTTGGACTAGGGAGAGGAATAGGAACAAGAGTGAAAGTGTGAGTTTCATAATTGTTGTGGATGAGGTTTTGGTTCATTCATTTCTTGGTTAGTAGTACTATATATATAGTAAAAGAAAGGGCAAAGACCCAAATTGGGAAGAAAAAAAAGTGAATTGATATTTCTTTCCTTCACAAAAATTTACATTATTGGTACATGTGACAAAAATATAAGAAGACAATTTCGTCCCTATATGAAAATTTAAATCTTGCATATATTTCATTTTTTTCCCCACTCTATTTTCTCTATTGATAGAGCAAATTCATATGGTGGGTTTATAGATATTTGTTTAGTGATGTTAGATCACAGACTTCTCCATCTCTTGCAAGTATGATGTGAATTGTTTTTCTTTTATGAACCAAACATGATGTGAGTTGGAGTAAGATTTTTTTTCAAGATTATATATGTATGTTTTTTTTTACACAGTTTATATATGTATGTTAAAAACATACAAGGGTATGATATGCATTTCTAAAAATGTTTTAATTCTAAGGTAAATTTTTTTTTAAACATTTTTTATGATAAAGATTACACATTGAACAATGAAAAAACGAGGGTATAAATTTTGAGAGCGCTATATTGTATTAATTTTTGTAAATAAAAAACATTAGATATTAGTTATTTATTATAACTGAGGTAAGCTATCAATAAGGAAGCTCGCTTCGACACACAGTTGTTGTATTTTTTTTCAATTAATAGTAGGTATTTCTCACTTGGCGCCTTTCTAATTTCCATTTTTATTTTTTTTCTATTTGTTTCATTAGTATTTACCTCGGTTACAGGATCCAACTGAAACGTAATATATTTTGCATTAACATTTTCATAATGCTAATTTCAAAATATTATTTAATACTTTATTTGATAAATTTTAACCCTTCGATTTTCTTAAATATCCGACGTGATATAACTTTTAAATGAATTCCCAGAATATGTCGCTATGAATTTATTTTTATAATTTTATATTTTTAATAACACCACCACGTCGATTTTTGTGTAAAATCGAAATGACACTTATTTTATATGAGATACTTCATAGAACTATCTAGCTAGTTTCTAACTTTTCATTTATCCTATCAACACTCAAACGTCAGTTCGTCGCTCTCATTTCGTAAAAAACCCTAGGCGATATTCATCAAAACTCTTCCAAAAGATATTCATCAAACGTCATTTTTGCAACGTGTTTGTTCTTCATTGAATCGTTAGTTTGTATATTCATCAACTTTAGTTTTTCACTTTGTCTATTGGTCATTTTGTTTAGGGTTTCTTCGTTACTTTGTCTATTAATCATTTTGTTTCTATTATTTTCCATTTGTATATTCATCAACGTTAATTTTTCACTTTGTCTATTCATCTTGATAATCATGGTCAATTCGGCAAGCACCTCCCATACAACATCTACTGCAAACTCTGTTAATACACAAAGTCGTAAAAGAAAAACTAGAGGTTCCACAATGTATACAAAGGTGAAAAAAGTTAACAAATCTGGTATTCACACCCGATTAGAGTTGATGCATAAACCAGCAAGGTTGAAGGTGAAAAAGCTGATGATTTTGTAGGTTACATTGCGTTACAAGGTAGAAGTAAAGTGAGTATTTTGATAAATAGTTGGCATGAAATTGACGACGAATTAAAAACCGACATATGGTCTGACATTACGGTATTGATCTTGTATCCTATCATTTGTTTTACAAGTATATTTTTTGTGCAATACTAATAACATCTCTATTGTGTAAACATATGATCACTTCATTGTTACTTTAGATAATGACTATGTGAAATAGAAAATGCTTACTTATTATGGTGAGCGTTGGATGGGGTTTAAGACACATCTCACCCATGATTATATTAAACATGGAGAAGATAAAGAAAAGCCTTCATACGAGATATATTCATTTATTGATAAAGCTACATGGGAGAAATTTGTAGAGTCTCGCAAAACTCCTGAATTCTTGGTAAAGAGCCAAAAAGGAAAGGAAAACCGAGCTAAAAATATATATCCACATAGGTTGTCTCGTGGAGGATATCGAAGAATTTAAAAAAATTGAGGGACGAAAAAAGAAAAAAAATGGAAGAAGAGTTGAGAGATTCTATAAGTCTTGATCAAAGTCCATCTCCATCATCACGCCACGATAAATGGAAGAGGGCACACGAAAGAAAAGACGGTGAGTACACATCAGAAGCTACGCGCGAAGTGGCTCAAAGGATTGTAAGTAGATACTTTTTTAAAGAATATTTATTTTAGTTAAATCAATTTGGTAAACATAAAATGTAATGTATTGTAGGATGATCTTGTTGAACAAACCAAAGCCAACCTCTTCACTTCATAAGGTCGTCATGACATCTTGATAGAAGCGATTAGAACAGAGGAGCATCTTGGACGTATCTGTGGTCTTGGTAGAGGCATTGGCTTCAAGGCATATTTTGGATGTTGTCAATCATCTACATTGAAAATGAGTAAGAGAGAGATTGAAGAGATTGTTGTTGTTAAGTTGGGGGAGCAAAGGAGTAAGTTGTTGCAGACTATGCAGGAGAAGTTCATTTAGGAGGAGAGGAAGAAGTTGTTGCAAAAGGTGCAGGAGAAGTTTTTGGAGGAGGAGAGGGAGAAGTTGTTGTAGGAGGTGCAGGAGAGTGTCCAGAAGGAGCAAGAGGAACGAGAGATGCTGAATGAGAAGAAGAGGATTGAGAAGTTTACCCGCGATGTTCTTGAGGTATAAGTTGTATTTTATTGTTATTATTGTCTACGTATTTCAGTTTTGGATTGTATTTATATTGTTTTTATGATGCAGACATTGATTTTGTTGGGTATACTCAGTCTTACAAATTCAAATCAGATGGAAATTCGAGAGAATGTAGTTGAGAAAGTTACGGGTGGTACAAGCGCGAAACATAGTTTTTCTGCCAACCAGGGCGATGTCATTTGCTCTAATACGTCGCACTCGGGGGAGGGGGGGGGATGAACGCTTGTTTGTTTTGTTGTTTAATTATTGAACATTATGTTGTTATTTTAGGAGTTTATTATATTGATATTGTTTCATGATTCGAAAGATTCTATACCTTATTTATAGAATTATTATGAATCCGCTGCATAATTAATCAAAGTTTGGTTTATGTTATGAAAACTATATTCATGAGTTGTGTTCATCCTACTTCTTTAAGTGTTATGTATCTATTCTAAAATCATGACATATTTATGTGTTTTTGTTGAATATGTGACATCCTGATTGTATTGGAAATTTTTATACTCTGATTTTCTGATAATTGCTTGGGGTAGAATTGAGGTGTTACATTAGTGGTATCAGAGCAGGTCGGTCCGTCCGACCAAATTGTCTAATTTTGTTTATTCCTTTGTATGCGACAAGTGTGTGAAACATTGTCGGTGCTTTCTTGCTTTTCTAATCTCTTTTAGGCATGAGTTAGTTTGAAGATAAGCGGGGGAGAAACTTTGTTTCTCTGATATGTTTTGGTTGTAAGATGTTAGTTCGATATGCTGTTGATGGCGATAGTGCAAGTATTGCTGAAGTTTTGTTGTTTCCCGAATCTGAAGGTGTCATGGATTAAAGACTTTGTTTGTTAATCAAGTTGGAACATCTTGAGGGAGGATGATCATACTTTGTTAATGTTTACTTCTCGAAGGATGGGGAGCAATGTAATGATTGCTGATATACGAGTAAATTGTAAATCCCTGATGTTTCTGAAGGCGATTTCTAAGTAACAAGGATAATTTTAGAAGATGGAATTTAGAAAGTTGCAACGTTTCAGCGCTACTGGGGGACTATGAAGTTGTCGGTTTGAATAGACCTTGTGTAAGATATTAATGGTTGAACGGTGATAGAGTGACAAATTATTGTAGACCGTGTCGTGGAATCCTTGTAAGTGATTGTATAGGTTACTGAAGTTGTTGGAATATTTTGGATCATGAGTCAGAATCAGAAATGCGAGGAGATGAGTATGATTCCAAGAATGGTAAGTGTTGGTACTGGTACAAAGAAATTTTGTTCGAATGTTATCGTAAGGTGTGTGATAGTATGTCGCTGCATGACGTCGGTGTTCACATTTTCGGATAACTTTGGAAATTCATATCTTGTGTTCCGAGTATCGGATAAGTATTTTGTTTGAACCTATGAGGAGGTAGAAATATATTCTATCATATGAGAGTGTTTTCAAATATGGTTTATGCATTCCCATATGGATGAACTCTGAAGTTGTTTACGGAACTAGAGGCTTTTTGGGCATGATTGGTTATTATCGTGGTTGTTCGAGACGAGGTCAGACATAATATTTTTTTGGCGAATAAGTTGAGAAATGAGATGTTTGGCATTAAAAATGATAATCGTTCATCATTTCAAGTATGGGATGTTGCATATGAAGAAAGTTTTGTAGAACTAAATAAAATATTGACGACTGCTCCGGTATTGGTTTTTCCTAATCCGAGTGAGTCATTTGTAGTGTATTATGAACGCGTATAAGATGGGACTTAGTGGTGTTTATGTTGAAGATTTAGAGACATTGTCTCTTTGGTTCTAGATTTGAAGTATTTAGCGAGCATAAGAGTTTAAAGTATTTATTTGATCAGAAGGAATTGAATAGGAGACAACGAAGATGGTTAGAGTTATTGGAAGATTATGATTTCGGTTTGAATTATCATCCAAGGTAAAGCTAATATGGTGGCTGATGTGTTAAGTCAAAGGACATTACATATGTCAGCAATGATGGTTAAAGAATTGGAATTAATTGAACAGTTCAGAGATGTGAGATTAGTTTGTGAAGTGACACCGAAGAGTGTTATGTTGGGGATGTTGAAGATTAACAATGATTTTATGGACAATATCAAAGAAGCTCAGAAGCTAGATGTCAACCGTTGTTATGTTGTTGTTGTTGCATTGTCGAGTTGTGGTTGTTTATATCGTCGCATAGCATAGCATTAAAGTTGTCCCGAATTGTCATGTTCTAAGTTAGAGCGAATGCTCACTTATGTTGGCCTGGATTGACATGTTCTAAGTTTAAGGTTTT